CCTGGCGCTGAATCCGCGGCCTTCGCACCAGACCCACTGTAGGCTTAATATCCACCGGGGCCAGGCGCATCGGCCGAACGCCCACCAAAACTTGTTCAGTCGGCGGGGCGATTTCGAACCTCTCCCGGTTAAAAGCTAGGCGGGCTACGCGCAGCTCTGATCGGGGAGACAGAGCACAGGCGGGCGGGGCCTCAGGCGGCTGGAAGGCGGGCCCGGGCGCAAGCGGTGCCGAGGAGCTTGCACAAGAAAAGGAACGCCTTGGACAGGAGCCGGAGGCGAAGATCCGGAGGGTGAGAAGTGCGGTGTTGCCGTCAACGGCGCTTCGTAAACACCATCCACAAGTGCTGCGTGAGGTTGTACGCGACCAGGTCGACGTCCAGGGGGGAGACGTCCATCACGAAGGCGATGAGCGACGTTGTGCCACTGGATGGTGGGGAGGGGCCCAGGAGAAGAGGAAGACCACGAAGGCGATGTGCAGCGTTGTGCCACCGGGTGATCGGAAGCGGCCTGGGGTGGTAGTCCAATCCACGTCCAGGGAGCAGCCAGCAAGAACGCCCACAAAAACAGACACTGAGGGAGGCGCGCCCCTCCAGGGGGTTTCTGTCGACGCCCAAGTGGAAGGCCAAAGACCATCCAGGTGCCCGCGACAGGGCGCGCCTCCAAAAACAAGGCACACCTCCAAAAAACACCTCCTCCGCCTCCTCCTCCTCATCCCCCTCCACTCCTCGTCCTCATGTGTAACTTCCCCTTGTCGCACCCCGAAGCCAGTTTTTAAGGCGGGCTGGGCGCTTCGCCTGAGACTTCCCCGCCATGCATGATTCTGAAACTAAACAATGGCAGCACTTCCACGGACGGAGGGCGGGCGTTTTTTCAAAATGCGGCCCTCGCCTAAGCGCCGCGCGCATTCGTTTTTTAACATGGCGCGAGGGTTGGTCGTTCTTCAAAATGCGGCCCTCGCCTTGGCGCCGCGCACATTTGTTTTAAACATTTACCAACAAAATCACGGCGCGAGGGCGGGTCGTTTACAAAATTCGGCCCTCGCCTTAGCGCCGCGCACGTTCGCTTTAAAAATTTGCACGGGCTTCACGAATTGAGGGCGGGTGGTGTTCATAATGCGGCTCTCGCCTTAGCGCCGCGCACGTTCGTTTACAAAATGTGCAAGATGTTTCACGGATTGGAGGTGGCCCCTTGTCAAAAAGCTGCCCTCGCCTTAGCGCCGCGCACATTCATTTTTAAAGTTGCCAGAATTTCACGGGCTCCCACGATCAACAAGCCAGAAATGATGTTTGGGAAGGGCTCGGGACTATGCGGGCGCAACAGTTACGTTGACTCGCTGTGTTGAAGTCCCAAAGATGGCGTTCTGGTGCGATTCTGGATCGTCAAGACGCAGCAGTCAGGTTGATACGTGGCGTTGAAGTCCCGAGAACAATGTTTTGGCACGATTCAGGATCTTCAAACAGTTGTCTTCCAACGAGGCAGTTCCCTCAATGGAAAAGAACCGCTGCAGGAGCCTATGAGGAGCTTGGAGGGAGGGATGATTCCAACACCGTTGATGACTCTTGGGCTTCCACTGGTCCTCCCCCTCTTCCCCCTGCGCTCGTACTATGCGGACCTGTGCGTTCATTCTCTACTGCTATCGAGATGGCGGGGGCCCCGCCTGCTGGTGAGCGCGTCGCGCCCCCTTGCACCCCCTTGCACTCGATGACGCCGTTGCGGCAGCCATCTCTCTGCCATCATGAACAGACACACGTGAAAGAATGGATGGGAGCATCGGGATGAGAGCGAGGCCCGACTCCCACGAGATCGGTCGAGGGAGGGAGGACATGGGGGAGATTGAAGAAATAAGCAGCGACGGTGTTCCCCAGGGACTTGGGCGAGGGGTGAGTTAAACCGAATCTAAATAAATGATCGAGAGGAAACGGGTGGCCATGAAACTCCTGTAGAAACCCCCAGAAAGGAGGACAAACAAGAAAGCGTGACTGGCTGTCTGATTAATGCCTGCATCCAAACCTACACGGCTGGGCCGATTGGAAACGTGAGTGCGTTGTCCACGCACCAGAGAAGGTGTGTATCCTCATCCTCCTTCCAACCTTTCCTCCTTTTCTCCGTTCCACCCTTCCTCCTTTCATCCTGTCCTCCCTTCCTCCTTTCCTCATGTCCTCCTTCCCTCCTTTCCTCGTTTCCTCCGTTCCTCATTTCCGTCGTTCCTGCGTTCCTCCCTTCCTCCTTTCCTCCGTTCCTCCTTGCCTCCTTTCCTCGTTTCCCGATGTCCTCCTTTCCTCCTTTCCTCCTTCCCTCCTTACCTCCTTTCCTCCTTTCCCCCTTTTCCGCCTTTCCTCCTGTCATCCTTTCCTCATTTCCTCCTTTCCTTCTTTCCTCCTTTCCTCCTTGACTCCGTTCCTCCTCCTCCTCCTCCTCTTCCTCCTCCTCCTCATCATCATCATCCTCCTCTTCCTCCTCCGCCTCCTCCTCCCCATCCTCCTCCCCATCCTCCTCCCTCCCCATCCCCCTCCTCCTCCTTCCTCCTCCTTTCCTCCCCCTCCTCCTCCCCACCCTCTTCTTATGATTCGTAGTACTAGGGTGTTTTTAAGGTTCTGCTTACTATTGTACGGATTCACATTAGTGGTAGTGGTAGTAGTTGCTGTAGTAGTAGTAGTGGTAGTAGCAGTAGTAGTAGTAGTAGCAGCAGCAGCAGTAGTAGTAGTAGTAGTAGCAGCAGTGATAGTAGTAGTAGGAGTAGTAGGAGTAGTAGTAGTAGTAGTAGTAGTAGTAGCAGTAGTAGTAGTAGTAGGAGTAGTAGTAGTAGTAGTAATAGTAGTAGTGGTGGTGGTGGTGGTAGTAGTAGTAGCAGTAGTAACAGTAATAGCAGTAGTAGTAGTAGTAGTAGCAGCAGCAGCAGTAGCAGTAGCAGTAGCAGTCGCAGTAGTAGCAGTAGTAGCAGTAGTAGTAGTAGTAGTAGTAGTAGTAGTGGTAGTAGTGGTAGTAGTAGTAATGGTAGTAGTAGTGGTAGTAGTACTAGCAGTAGTAGTAGGTAGTAGTAGTAGTAGTAGTAGTAGTAGTAGTAGTAGTAGTGGTAGTAGTAGTAGTAGTAGTAGTAGTAGTAGTCGTAGTAGTAGTAGTAGTAGTAGCAGCAGTAGTAGTAGTAGCAGTAGTGGTAGTAGGTAGTAGTAGTAGTAGTAGTAGTAGTAGTAGTAGTAGTAGTAGTAGTAGTAGTAGTAGTAGTAGTGGTGGTAGTAGTAGTAACAGCGCAGTAGCAACAGTATCAGTAGTAGCAGTAGTAGTAGCAGTAGTCGCCACATCGTCGCCGTAGTAGTAGTAGTAGTAGTAGTAGTAGTAGTAGTAGTAGTGGTAGTAGTAGTAGTAGTGGTAGCCGTGGTGGTAGTAGTAGCAGCAGTAGTAGTAGTAGAAGTAGTAGTAGTAGTAGTAGTCGTAGTAGTAGTAGTCGTAGTCGTAGTACTAGTAGTAGTAGTTGTAGTAGCCGTAGTAGTAGTAGTAGTAGTAGTAGTAGTAGTAGTAGTAGTGGTAGTACTAGTACTAGTACTAGTAGTAGTAGTAGTAGTAGTAGTAGTAGTAGCAGTAGTAGTAGTAGTACTAGTAGTAGTAGCAGTAGCAGTAGTAGTAGTAGGTCGGAGTAGTAGTAGTAGTAGTAGTAGGTAGTGGTAGGTAGCAGTAGTAGTAGTAGCAGTCGTAGTAATTTAGTAGTTGTAGTAGTAGTAGTAGGAGGTAGCATTTAGTAGGTAGTAGGTAGTAGGTAGGTAGGTAGATGGGTAGGTAGGTAGGTAGGTAAGTAGTAGTAGTAGTAGCAGTGGTAGTAGCAGTGGTAATAGTAGTAGTAGTAGTAGTAGTAGTAGTAGTAGTAGTAGTAGTATAGTAGTAGTAGTAGTAGTAGTAGTAGTAGTAGTAGTAGTAGTAGTAGTAGTAAGGAAAGTAGTAGTGGTAGCAATAGTAGTAGTAGTAGTAGCAGTAGTAGTGGTAGTAGGCAGTAGTAGTGATAGTAGGTAGTAGTAGTAGTAGTAGTAGTAGCAGTAGTAGTAGTAGCAGTAGTGGTAGTGGTAGCAGTAGCAGTAGTAATAGTAGCAGTAGTACTAGTAGTAGCAGTAAGAGTAGTAGTAGTAGCAGCAGTAGTAGCAGTACTATTATATAATGGATATGATTAGTAGTACGTTCTTCCTGTGTTGAATACTCCTCATATCGTTATCACGATTCTTAGTGTTAGTGGTATCACCATTAGTATGATTGATCGTATGCTTGAGTCGTTCATTCTTCTTGTTGTTATGATTATTGTATTACTACGATTGGCATTATTCTTATTCGAATTATCAGTACCCCTGCTAACAATATTATCATTATGTTTGTTACCCGTATTCGCTTCAGAATGATTACTATTATCCTTAGCTTTAGTACTACCAGTGTCCTTCGTGTTATTAATATTCCTGTTATTCGTAACATTACCATGCCAGAACTATTACTATAAGTGAAATGGTTTGTCTTCTCCGTATACTTGTCATTCGTATTATTCGTCTTACTAATAGTGTTAAGATTCGTACTAGTGATATTTTCCCTGTCTTGATATTACGTCTAGAATGCTCTTTATTCTCTGTACCAAAATAATGTCTAGTTTCAACAGTGTTATTCGTTTTTGTATTAATACTTTCGTCTTCTTCTGAGTATATTATTCCTCCTACTTCTCCTCCTCCTCTTCCTCCTCCTCCTCCCCCTCCTCCTCCTCCTCCGCCTCCGCCTCCGCCTCCTCCTCCTCCTCTTCCTTCTCCTCCTCCTCCTCCCCCACTCTCCTCGTGATGACAAAGACTTGTTGTAGCTTTTGGGCCATCCGCACCATCAGAGGCCCGAGCAATCTCCCAGACCCTCCTAGGACGCAGTCCTGACCAGCATTCCGAGCTGAGACCAGCCAGGCCGACCAGGCCCCAGCAGAAACGGGATCTGTTCCATTACTGGAACCCTGCCGCCTCCGAGCCACACACCGGCGCGGGGCTGGGGTCCTTCGTGCACGAGGGCGTAGTCGTGCGCGCAGCAGAACTGGCCTGCAGAGGCACCCGCGGGCAGCTGGGGCGAACGGCCAAAATAAAGGCCAGAGTGCCGCCGATCGAGGCAAAGGAACGAAGAAGACCGCACATAAAAGCCCAAAGGCGCAAGGTGGCAGGCGAATAAAATGCGGAGCAGGAACATATCGGACGAGCACGAGGCACCAGAAGGAGCCCGGGGAAGAGCAGGAACATCGACAGGAAGGAGGAGGGAGGAGGCAGCAGGGAGGAGGAAGGAGAGAGTGAGGCAGGAGGAGGCCGTAGGGAAGGAGAAAGGATGGAGGATGGAAGAGGGAACAGGGAGGGAGGCGAGCGCCGATATCCACAACCACATTGACGCGCGGCCGCGCGCCTTGAAGGCGTCGGCGGTGGGGCCGTAGCCCGTCAGAAGATCACGAAAACGTTCTAGAGTCAATTCGGTGACCATCCTCCCGTCTTCTCACCTGACCTCTGCCATAGGATCGTATCGGTTGCCCACTGCACATAAGATGATCACACATCACTTAGCTCAAGGTCTCCAGCTGTCGAATCCGTTGTGGCATGAAGAACCAATTCGCCGAAATGAAATTAACCCGGCGCGACCCCAAGTAGGGGAAAGCTTACTATTGCATGGGCGCAGTGCTTGGCATTGTTTGGCATTGCTTGGCATTGCTTGACATGGCTCGGTACTGCTTGGCATTTCGTGGCATGGCTTGGCACTGCTTAACATTACTTGGCAGTGCTTGGCATTGAGTGGTACTGCTTGACACTGCTTGGCACTGCTTGCCATTGCTTGGCATTGCTTGGTACTGTTTGGCACTGATTGGCATTGTTTGGCACTGCTTGGCATTGCTTGGCACTGCTTGGCATTGATTGGCATTGCTTGGCGTCGCTGGGAATTGATTGGCATTGCTCGGCATTGCTTGGCATTGCGTGGCATTGCCAAGGAACCCGAGGAAGCCGAAGAACCCGAAGAGCCCGAAGGAGCCCGAGCAATCCGAGGAACCCAGAACCCGAGAAACTCTAGGAACCCGAGGAATCCCAGAAACCCGAAGAACCCGAGGAACGCCGAGAAACCCGAGAAACCCGGGGAGGAACCCCCGGGCAACGGCCAACGTAAGAGTACGAGGCACCAACTGTTAACAAAGTAAGGGCCCTTTAGACAAACCTGAGCAAGGAAAAATACGCTAGAGCGTCGCAGTCCCAAGCTCCGAATCTGCCAAAAAATGTGAATGAATATCCTTCCGAAAGAAATGCGCCTTGGCTGCCAGAACAGCTGCTGACGCCCACCCTCGCTCCGAATCTCGACGAGAAGTGCGTCCGTATCCAGATCTGTCGCCGTAGCCATCACCACTTCATCGTCGGGATCTTGAGGGACAATGTGCAAAGTACCCTCGCAGGGAGGACTTGAATCAACGCCAGCATAGATAGAATCCCCTGGTGCAAGACGTATCAATCGGTAATCAGTGCGGTCGCGACGGTGTAGAAGCTCATCTGTTGCCTCTTCTGATTCCAGCACGTGCGCCTGGAGCTCGTCGGCTGAAGTATCCGCCCCGCAGACAAAATCGAAGTTTCGGTGGATGACAACATGGTTTGCGTGTGCAGATGCTTGTGGGAGTTCAGACATGGAATCTCGCACTGAATGCTGTCGTACCGTACGCCAGCTGCACACTTGAATTCGATCAGACAAAACATTCGAAACCAATGGCCTCGATGTGTTCATGACATTGTCATCCGTGTGCCACGTTGAGTATGTCCGTCCATACCCTGCGCCAAGTGGAAAGGCACGTGTTCGTCAGCGTCTGCACGTAGTTGTCCACGCTCCAACGGATCACAAGAAAACAAAAAACCCTTTGAGATGAATGGTGTTATACTGCCTAGCAAACGAACTGCAGCACTACGATACCTCAATCGTCTTCGTATCGATTTGGGGCATTTCCACACACGGTGTCGCCATGAAGCGTCACAAGGCGGGGCCGTATGCATTGCTCCTGAAGCTGCTCAAACTTGGGCTGACATGGGCTGCTTAAGCCAGATTCTTGAGCCAGAGTCTGAAGCTTTGAGCCAGGAGGAGGGAGGGAGGAAGAAGACGACTAGGGAGGGAGGAGAGGAGAGAGCGGTAAGGAAGGAAGGATGGAGAAGGGAGGGAGGTTGGAGGGAGGACGGCGTCAGCATCGTCTGAGTCCCAATTTGACGTGGATGCTGGGCCCTCGAGAGGTCGCGCTGCAACGAACAGAGCCCAAGGCGAGAGTTGAGGAGAAGCCGAGGCGGCATGGGAGGAAGGGAGGGGAGCAGAGAGGCGAGGGGGTCGAGGGGAGTGGGTTATAGTGGGAGGGGGGGGCAAGGCAAACCAAGAGACGGGGGAAAGGCAAGGAGAAGCCCAGTAGGATGGGATGAGAAATGGAAAGGCCAACGGGGAGAGGCGAAGGCGAGGGGAGGGAAGGGAGAGGAGCAGGAAGGGGAGGAGAAGAGAGGGGTG